AAACCTGTGAAGGATCCCTGTAGCCGTGTCATTGTTATAGTACTGCTGTTAAGAAGGCCACGGTACTGTAACAATGCAAATACTTGAATACTCTATTACCTTAGCATATTGATTAGAGATCGATGCCCGATTTATGTACATACAATGTAATTGTTTTAGCCAACAATTATATCGTATGTATGTAAAATCGGGTATCGATCTTTAATCAATGTGCTAAGGTAATAGAATATTCAAGTATTTGTATTATTCACTTACAACATTTTATATAATATTGATGGATTTTATTACGTATAGGTAAAGACGGCGTCTTTATAAAAATTTCACTAGTCACTCATAAAATATAAATAAATTGGACATTAATTATATTTTTTAAAAAAAATGAATGCATTAAAAAAATTTTTTTACAAAATTATTTTCCACAAAGCACCAACAGAAGTTCCAGCAGATGTTAATCTACATGAACGAGATCTTTGCTTTATATGCAAAGATGATATTGACCCAATACTTAAGGAGTCAATAACAATTTTAAATTGTAAACATTTTTTTCACAAACTATGTATAGAACGTTGGGCAGATAGTCAATGTCCACTATGCTAAGAAGAGTGTATTGAGTCAACTGAGCTTGGAAATTGTTATAGTCAAGAAAGCACTCAAGGAATTTCTACCCAGTTGGATAACAATCTTCAAATTGATTCTGAAGATAGTTCGGAAGAAATAAACATTCAAATTTCTCAACAAGCCAGCTCTATTGAATCATTATTAAACTCTGAATCTGATACTTCTATTACAACTTCGCCTATTTCCACTACGTTTGCATCTATATCTACCACTATTACCACACCTACATCCACCACCACTACTACCAATATCACGACTTCTGTACCTGCACTTATATCGACCACTACAACTTCCGCACCTATCTTACCTGTACCTAAATCTGCTACCGATATTATATTTTTCGCACCTGCACCTACTACTACCGATTTCATGACTTCCGCACCTGCTACCAATATCATGACTTCCACATCTATACCTACGCCTGCACTTGCACCTACTACTACCGATTTCACGACCTCTGCATCTGCTACCAATATCACGACTTCTATACCTGCACCTACTACTACCGATTTCATGACTTTCGTACCTGCTACCAATATCATGACTTTCACACCTGTACCTACGCCTGCACCTGCACCTACTACTACCGATTTCACGACCTTTCATCTGCTACCAATATCATGACTTCCGTACCTGCACCTACTACTACCAATTTCATAACTTCTGCACCTGCTACCAATATCATGACTTTCACACCTATATCTACGCCTGCACCTGCATCTACTACTACTGATTTCACAACTTCCGCACCTGCTACCAATATCATGACTTCTATACCTGCACCTACTACTACCGATTTCATGACTTCCGCACCTGCTACCAATATTACGACTTCCACACCTGTATCTACGCCTGCACCTGCATCTACTACTACCAATTTCACGACTTCCGCACCTGCTACCAATATTACGACTTCCATACCT